ATACAGTCACTCTAAATGCCTAAAATGTATACACATTTAGATGAATACATGTATATGCTCGTCATCCTTTCTAAAAGGCTCTAATTATATTAAATATAAATCTTTCTGTTGGAACTTGTCAAAATTTACAGTGGGCGTAAAATCTTTGTGCATTTTATATTGCTTCAGTGTACATGACAGTAGTTTGGTCAAGAGTTTCATTTCTATGTTTATCCAAAAGTTTGGTGGCACTAGACGCGTTTAGTTTTGACTTCATTAAAAATTATCACTTTTCATTTTAATTTGTCGGAATTATTGCTTTATTTCTTTATTCTAACTTTGAAAATGTCAGAAAATAAAAAATAAAATTATTTCCGGGATATTACGCTTCTTTTATATTTCAAAAAATAAAAAAAAATATGCGATCCTAACGCAAGAAAAAGACTTGAAGAAGGTGATGTGACTGATCAAACGTGTTAAAAGTGGCTTGCTGTTGTGCTAAACAGTAGAATGAACTCTTCTCTCATAAATACTAACTCCGAGACTTCCTAGGGATAGAGTCGCAGGGCAGCCGAGACACAGTCTCTGACTGTGTGCGACTTCTGTCAAACTCTTTGCCAAAGGCAGAGAGGAACCCGGATTGAAAGCAAAGTTTCGTCCGGGGAGGTAGACAGATCCCGAACTCGCTTATGCGGGTTCAAAGGGAATGTTTTTGGCCGAGCCTACGGGCTCGGAGAAACCCACGTTAAACTCGGCCTTGTGCCACATACATTCCTCGTGGAGGGACTGTTAAATATAGAGTCGTAGGGTAGCGGAGACGTAGTGTTAACCTGACCGTTCGAACGTACACCTCCATCTGCTTAATACTAACACTCTTGCTTTGTATATATCTGTTATTTCAATACACTTGTTCAACCCTACCTTCGTCTTCTGCGTCTTTCCTTCTGGCCTCTAAACAGGCCACAACACTTGCTAAATTTTGTGATTGGAAACAATGTACGATTGATAGACAAAGATATTACCTGAAAATAAACACTTATATACAAGGCAGAAATAACTAAATTATTGAAGACATCCAAATAAAGCCTTGATAATCACTTACATCAATTTAGTTATGTTAGTTATTGTAACTTCCAAATAAGCGAAAAATGAATTTGGACTGGATCAGATCTCTATGTGTTATTCGCCACGTATATATAATCAAAACGTTTCAGTGTTGAAACAAATTGTTACAGGCGATGAACAGGAGATATTTTACAACAACATGAAACATAAGCGATTGTAGAGAACGAAATACATCAAGAAAAAACTTTTAAAGGAGTAAGTCGTCATCTCGAACGAGACGATACTATTTACAATGTGTGATTGGAAAGGATTCCTCTACAATGTTCTACTTCCGGAGAACTAAACGACTGATTTTAAAAATTACACTGACGAGCCAAAAGACATGGGTTGTAAATGTACTAGTAGATGTCACCACCATTCAGAAATAGAAATGCCCAGACCTATATGAGTAGTGCGTTGTCATTTTAAATGAACCTTGACGTTTGATTTAATCTTCGTATTAAAAATTTTTCTCTTTGCTTCTAATTTTTAAATGCTTGGTGCACCAAAACAATAGAATTTAAAATTTACTGTTTCTGTCCAAGATTAACGCAAAATAAATCAGTAACTGACTTGTCCATTTTTGGAAATTTATTAAAAGTTCTTTGAAATTCTCTTATTTGGTTATTCCCAAGAATTCAATAATTTTCTCCTTACGGCCGTATCCCTTTGAAACGCCGATTCTAGTAAGATCACCGAAGTTAAACAATGTCGAACATGGTGAGTATCTAGATGGGTGACCACTTTAGAATACCAGTGCGTATACCTGGGTATGTGAAATGGATAACGGTTCTAAACTAAAAATCAGAGAGCCGAATTTTAATTCCAGTTAGGCTCGTTATATTCACTTATGTGCAATAGACCCCCTTAGGAAAGGTATATATCCATCTCTTGTTCCCCAAGCTATGGGTTAATTAATAAGACTTGTATCACTAAACGATTATCCAAAAAGATCTTACAATGTAAAAATATCTCCCGTCTTTAAATAACCTGCAAGTGGTTGATAAGCCGTAAAAAACGAATTAATCAAGCAGGAACTCTTATGACTGATATCCTTACCTTTGTTGACTCCCCACTTTTTAAAATCCTGAACGTTTAAGATTGAGAAACAAGTTTAACTCGTAAAATGGTGGAGATACGAGAGCTGAATCCATTTGCACGCATTGAAAATAAAAACTAAGATGAAGATTTTTACAATTGGTCTTAGGATTATTATTATTATTATTATCCGTATCGAGAAAATTGTTCGAAAAGAATTATTCGAAAAACATTAATTCGAATTGTAAATTGGTTGAATAAAAATTAATCGAAAGAACAATTATACTAAATGATAATTATTCGAAATACCAATGTTTGATATACGTATGTGGTCTTGCTTTGAGAGAGTCAATGCTGCTTTAACTAATAACGCCCTTGA